CATGACAAAGAGACGCCACACAAATAACAGCAAGTGCTTACCGAGTGCCACTGATCTCTCAGGTGTCCAAATGCATCAGGCGTCCTCCTAAGCACTTGGCAGATGTCAGCTCAGTTAATTCTAATTGCAGCTCCAGGAGTGGGTGTTCTGAAACTACTACTTTATAGGTGAGGAAACGGGCACAGGATGTCCAAGGTCACTGGTTAATAAGAGGATGAGTAGGAATTCCACAGGCCTCTGGCTCCAAAACCTGCATCTCTGAGCAACTGTGCTATAAAGTCACGTGGAGAGGAGGAACAGGAAGCTCCGAGAGGATAACAGTGAGGGCTTGGGGAACACCCTCAGGAGAAAGTGGAATTTGAAAAGAGATCTGAAGGAAGGGAAGGAGCCCTACAGAGATAGGTGTGTGTATGAGCACTGGACAAAGGCAGTGGAAAGAGCATATACAAAGGCCCTGGGGTAGGCAATGCTCTGGGCGTTTGCAGGATGGAAAGAAAACTCCTATAGCTGAGATCACTGAGTTGGAAGAGTTTTTGTGGCTTGGTCCTATGCCTAGAATCTGGCAAGCAGAGTAAAGGATAGCACTTGCTGTGTCCATCCTGAGGGACAAAGAGCCAGGAGAGCAGAAGGTTTCAAGAAGGCCTGGCCTCCTCATGCCTCGGAATGAGCACAGCAGGTATCATCTCATGGCACTGGTGTGGGAAGCAGATTCCTAGGTCACCTCTGGCCTCCTTCTCCAGGTGTGGGTCCTGCTGGGGGGGCCCTTTTGCTAGGGAATCCTGGGGGGTGTCCTTTGGGTCCCACCTTTTGAGGAGTCCTCCTTTGTTACATCCCTTGTATGTGATTTCTTTTTCTCCATCAGCCCTAAAATAAGGGAGGGCAGCTCCAAGTTGCTTTCAAAGCTGAGTAAATAAAGCTCTTTTACAATTGGTTCCATTGCAGAGAAAGCATTAGACTGATTTATTCAAATCAATTCTGGGTAAAAGCCATAACGGAGAGCTTAAGAATGAGCTGTTTCCCCAGGAAACTGGGCTGATGGATTAGCACCTGAAGGGGCTCCAGTGTGTGTGGGGGTTGGCCTAAGAGGAGAGGGCAGCCTGGGCCAGTGAAGTCTCCTGTGGGGCAGCGGGTGCCTGGCTTCTTAAGCTCCTGGGGGGAGATGAGCTGGTCCAGTGCCTCTTGTTGTGGCCTTGAAGGGAAGCAGGCCTGGTCAGAGAGCGCCTCTTGGGAGCACAGGCTGATGTCAGAGCTACCTGGCAGCAGGTTGTTGGGTTGCTGAGACAGAGTGCTGCAGCACCTTGCCCAAGGACATCCCAAGTAGTAAAGGAGCCAGAATTCAAATTCGTGTCTTTTCACCCTCCTTATCCAGAGTTTGTCGCCACATGGAACCCATGTCCCTGCCCCATAATCCTTCTGCTAACTGTAAGGACCTACCACATTGCCAACTAAAACCACGCATGCTTTAAATCACTTTCCTTCTTGTTGGTACTCTGTAACCCATCAGCACTGTTGCTACAAAGACTTTGTAGACAGAGGTAAAGGTCATCCCGAAGCCTGCTGAATTCTCACTTAATAGCCCCACACAGGACTCTTCCCTGCTCTTTAAATCGCATCGCTCTTGCCCTCTTTACCCTCATCCACGTGGCTGTCACTGGCTGGTGGCATTAGCTTACACAGCCTCAGTTTCCTTAGCTCTACAGAGAGAACAGAGCTGGCCTTGTGGGTCTGTCATGGTTGCTTGGCATGTGTGTGGAGTAGCTAGCAGTGTCTGGCCGTAGCAGGTGCTCAGAAGTGCTAGCTCTGAAAGGAAGGGGCCTGCTCTCAGGAGGATACACACCTGCCTGCTGCCTCTTGTGCTCCCAGACTGCTCTGAGCTGTGGGCCTCCTGCACCCCCAGCCCTCCATGCCTCACTTGCAGCATCTGTGCACCCCCAGAGCATAGATGCACCAGGAGAGTTTAGGAAATGGTCCCTCCTTTCTTAGTTGCAAATCAGAGGAGCAAAATGTGAGGCAGGAGGAAGAATCTCTACTCCCAGCATTGTCTCTGCTCTGTCCCAGGACAGGAGCATTATGTCAGAGGTTAGTGTAGCTGCCCCTCCAATACTGGCATGGAGTCCGGGACCTCTGCATTGAGCTGCGTTCTTAGGCTTTTTCTATTTCTATTTTTTATTTTGAGACAGTGTCTCACTATGTTATTAAATTACCCAAACTGGTGTTGAACTTATTATCCTCCCGCCTCAGCCTCCCACAGTTCTGGGATCATAGGCACGTGCCATGGCACCCAGGTGAGTTTAGTGCATCTTGGGGCCCCTGTGTGCAGGGCGGGCCTCAGTATTTTAGCTCCTCTGAGGCTTTGTTTCGGTGCCCAAGCCCACCGGACATCAGAGCCTCGACAGGGAATTCCTCGTGTTTGGGGCCCACACTAGCTGTGCATTCTTAGCTGGTGGATTGTGCTCCTGTATCTGTCTGTCACAGGGACTTCTCTTCACGGGCACAAGTTTGACATCACTACAGGTGTGCTCGGCAGATCAGGGAGAGAGGAGAAGGAGGAGAGGTAGGGACGGAGGGGAGAATGGGAGGGAAGGGGAGCAAGGGGGCTTGAGAGGGGCAGCCCAGGACGAGGGTGAGACAGAAATCCAGGCATCCATAGCCTGGGAGAGGGGACGTGTGCTCTGGCCGTGGTGCTGAAGTGCACATCCTGGTACACCGGACCAAAGGGCGAGGACTGCAGCTGACAAACAGGGTGTGTGGCTCAGGTCCTAACTGGGCCATCAGGGATGGCCAAAAAAGTGGATTGACAAAAAAGGATTGACAAAAGTGGGAGCCATTGTAACAATGAAGGAAGAGGAGGAGGAGGAGGAGGAGAGGAGGAGGAGAGGAAGTAGTTATGGGGAGGGAGGGAGGGAGGGAGAGGCGAGCCTGCGAGACTAAGAGTAGGATGGGATGATGGCGCCTGCCCATGAAGGGGTCAGAACCACAGGCTCAGGTCGGAATATGGCACCCGGGGGTCTTTTGGGCTAGCATTTCCACTCGCTTCCCAGGGTGATCGCTGTGTGTACTCACCCACATGTGCATGCATGAAGAACGGGGACTGTCATTGCCGTATGCATTTCAGTCAGGGTTGGAAGCACTGCTGGGGCACTGTGTCACTCATGCTTGTACAACGGTGGAGCAAGTGGTCTCCACCATAGTTCTCTGTGGCCTGGCTCACAGGCCTGGCATTGGTGGCTCGTAGGTGTAGGGGAGGAAAGGTGATATACACTTCTCTTCTGCCTTGGGTGGCTTTAGTTTCTAGCTTAGCCCAAGGGGGTGGGCAATGTTTCACTCTACTTGGATAATCAAGGGCAGTTGCTACGCCATGGTTGCCTCCCCTGAACCCTCCTGGGACCTCACTGCCCCCACTAAGTGCAGGTTTTCTTTGCAGAAGTCTAGGATGCTCCACAAGTGGACGCCTTGTGCCTCAGAGCTCAAACTCAGGAGCGAGCCAGATGCACCTGCCTCAGAGTCATCTGTCAGTCACTTGTGGTCTCAGTGAGGTGTCTTGTTTTGTAACTAATATAGTCTTGAGGCTCCTGGCTGCTGACTGGTGTTGGTCGACAAGAGCACCAAGGCTAAGGCCCCTCGCTGACATCAACCCTAGACTTATTTGAGAACACACTGTGTCCTTGGTGGTCCTAAGTCAAGAAGTCAGCTTGATCTGATAGTGACCAGAAGAAAGTTCTGGAAGGTGGTGTCCCTGAGAGGTTGGAGCATGAGCTTGAGGAGCATGACAATTGAGATTCAAATTTCAGCTCCAATCTTTTCTAGCTGTGTAACCTTGGGATAATTATCTTCTCAGAGCTTCAGTTTCCCCATCTGTAAAATGGGGTATTAATAACATCCACCTCCGTGGGTCATAAAGAAGACTAAATAAAGCTTTAATCAAGAATAGTGCCCAACACACTCAAGAACAGTTGGAGGCAGTAAGTTCTCAGAAACATCAGCTCCTATTATTTTATGATATTACTACCATGGGCCTTATCAACTGGCTCTTGGATGGCTCTGGGAATGAATTTGTTCTTTCTGCTGTCTCCTCTGAAAATGGGACTGTGGGTGACAGTCATCTCATTAGTTTGGGAAAGAAAGGGGAGAGCACCGAGGGCCTTCAACATACAGTGATGGTGGTTGATCTCCTGTCTTTGATCTTATTCAAGAACTCCCTCAAGATCAAGCAATGGTAAATACCGGAATCATGAACATTTAGGAGATTTTTGCCTTTCTGGGGATCAAAGCCCGCTTATGCAGTGGAATACAGAATTATGGATATATGTACATATACTTTCAGAGGATTCAAGAGTCTGAGGAACTATTATGGGTTTTCATCTCATTGCCCACAGCAATTCATCTTAGTCTGCCTTTCCCAAGATCAAGAATGTAGAACCTTCTGGAAGAAACGTGACTCACAAAAATGAATCCCTCAGCATGAAACCTTGGGGAGGTGGGATGTTGAGAGTCTGAGGCCCCAGAGGCCTTGGCTATGCATCTGTCCAGAAGCTTCTGAGCCTGGCACCTGTCTGCCAGTCCTATAATTGTCACCCTTAGGGTGGCTGTGACCCTGCTTGAGGCTGTCCTGTGGCTGAGAACAGGATGGGGCTGGGCTGGGTTGGACCTCTGCCTTCCTCCTCCCCGGAGCTCTCTCACACAGACTGTGTGGGCGCTGCCTTCAATGCTCTCTTTGCTAAACTCTGCAACAATTTATGGTGCCAACACCCCAGGGAGGAGGCAGGGATTAGTCTTTGTTTTTAAGAGATGTTGCGCTTATGAAAAGGATCTTGCGGCAATCAGCACCCCTTGGCAGAAAACAGTAGGCCACCAAGCACACCTGTTTAGTCAGAACAAGAGAAGGGGGAGGTCTGGATAATCAAGACAAATGTCCACACCCCCAAGATACCTCTAAGAAGGGCTGGCAGGAGCGATTTAGATAAATGATGACTTCTGATATTTCTTCTCACGTCTTGCAGATGCCTGCTTGCCATGCTGGTTCAGAGTGGAGGAAGAAGAAAAATGAGTTCCTGAGTCTGGAGAGAGGCCCACAGAAGGCCCCATGTACTGCGGCCCCTACTAAAGTAGTCACAGAGCTGGGTTGTGATGAATCTCAGGGGAACACACATGCAAGATTCCAGTGGAGTCCCAGAATTCAAGGTGAGATGCTCCAAGAGTAAGATTTTCAAACCCGAGATCTGGCGACTCACTGGAATGCCGCTTGCATCTTGATAATTAACCAGCCGAATTTAAGCGGGAATCTCCAGCAGGATCGTGCCTTCCTGCTGGGGTGGATGGAATACTTGTTGATGGTCTTGGTGGGCGTACTCTGCAGATGCCTGTCACAGAGATACACACGGATTCCACACGGGGAGGGGTATGGCTTGGGAGAAGACGGAAGACACCCTGTTCCTGGTGCATGCTAATGGGATGAATGCAAGACGGGATACATGGGGTTCGCAGCGATGGTCCAGAACGGCAGAAATGCTGACTTTTCCACCCAGCGTTTGGGGTCATGGATGCCAGCTGATGGCTCTGCTTAGGTGACTTATAAATGGCATCATGAGTTACTTGGGCTGTGAGGCAGCTGCCTGAAGCAGTTGTGGGTTGTGGGGGGGTCATTGTGTCTTGCTGTGGTTTCTTATTGGAGAGGAAACAGCCACACCCTGAGTCAGGAAGCTGCCTTGGGACAGGAGTGGAGGGGACATGGCTGGGACAGAGGGAGCCTGGAGGGCCTCACCCTTGAGGCTGCCTTGGGGACTCAGCCAGGAACCCAGGCAGGTGTGACAGGGAGAGGGTGGTCCTAACTGGAGGATTCTTCCCCGCACCTCCCAAATGGCTAGAAGTTTTCAAGAGGGATTGTGGCGGAGAGGCTGTGGGGTTTATTTTCCTCATGCCCTAATGCATGACCACTTAAGATGCCGGGATTCTTGCATTGGGACAACACCAGCTGCAGCTGTTCCCCGGGAACACTGCTTCTGACTTCCCGGTTGACAGTCTCATCGACACAGTATTGGGGGCAACTGGGTCCCCCCTTTCTCCCACCATGATGTCATCTCAGGACCCTCCACCTACAGGGCCAGACTTGTCTTCCTTGTAAGAAAAGCACATGTGTTAAAGAGATTTAAAAATAGACACACACACACTTCTTGGGCTTTTGTTATATGCCAGGCTTAGAGCTTTACATGCATAATTTTGCTGAATTCTTGTAACAATCTCACAAGATGCTGTTGTCATCCCCATTTTATGGATGAAGAAACAGAAGGCCTCGGAGATCAGTTTTCCTGCCCACGGCTCTTCAGCTGAGAAGAGCAAAGCCAGGAAGAACTGAGCTCAGCCCACCGAGCCGTGGGTGACCCACCCTGCCTTTGAGGCCTCACTGTGGAAGGATGAGAATCTGGACACATCCAAGTCCTGCCAAAGGAGTTTCCCGTCACCACCCTGACATCCTTCCTATGCGTCCTGCTCTTGTCTGGCTGGAGCTGTGCTGGCCTAGGCTAGGTCAGCCTGCAGAGCTGATGCTGTCAAGGACTTTAACAAGTGTGTGTGTGTGTGTGTGTGTTCTTCTTGCCTTTGCCTGGGGTTTTCTGTGGCCAGCAATGCCCACTTGGCTAGAGTTACTCAGAAACTTAGGTCCTCCGGTGAGCAGCTCTCGGTCACAACTGGTGAGAATTTGTGAGCGAGTACCCCAGCTCCCGAATCCTTAGGACTGATTGCCAGAGGTGTGCTTTCTACATTTGCTCCCAGTTGAGTTCAGCTCTAGGTGGCTGCAGCATAACTGTATGGATAACAAACTCTGTAGCAGCTGCCTGCCCTTCTTCAACTTCATCCTGTATCCCCAGGCCACCCCCAGAGTTTCCTGGAATTGCTTCAAGAAATAAATTCCATGCTCATGACTCTCATCTTGGGGTCCGCTTTGGGGGCTACTTGGGTTCTCGCTGGTGCATCTTGTCTGTGGGTGTGAGGGTTTGTTTGGTAGCCCAAAGTGTTCACTGAAAGGGAACAGTGACACTCAACAACTAGGCCACACACATACCGAGAGGTCTGACAGGAGACTTTATTCAGGAGGGCAGTGCAGAGAGAGAGAGAGAGAAGGGAAGTATTGGCTTATTTATAGTTTTGGGGTTGGGCTATCACCTATGTGTAGCATGTAACCTATTGCAAGCCACACTGCCTTTTGAGGAGGGAGCCTTGCAGAAGCTTTAGGTTTGAATTCTATACACTGACGGTCTTGGGGAGAAGGAAACTTAGGGTAGTGGCATGGACAGGGGAAGAAACTGGAAACATGGCCCACAATGGCGGCATCAAATCTCTAACAGTTCACCAGTGCAGAAGGACCATAGTTACTTTCCCTTGGTATTCTATTACTTATGATTTACTCCTTTATTCTATCCCCGAGGTGGTGAGAATTCTGTTCGTACACTGATAGGAACAGAACCTGCACCTCCTTTCCCCAGACACTTCCTCTTTCGACTGTTGGCTAGGACATCCCTTTCTGAGGCAGGGATCAGGGGCTCCCTTTTGCTCTTGCCTCTCTCCAGCTTTCATTGTCACACCCGCTCATCCTACCTGAAACTGAAGGGTGGTGCACCAGGATTTAAACCCAGTGGCTCGGTCGACTCTGCCTTGTCCTTCGGTGCTAGGACATTTGTGACATCATTCCACTTCATTTGTCCAGACCGCAAGGAGTCCTGCAGCCCAGAGAGCAGTGGAGAGCCAAGAAAGATGAGCTGAACGTGGTGTGTGTGTGTGTGTGTGTGTGTGTGTGTGTGTGTGTGTGTGTCTTAGGTCAGTGAGATTTAAGTGAGCGACACTGCAGTGGCGGATAAGCGTGTTGCACACTTGTCCAAACCCAAGGAATACGTAACACCAAGAGTGAACACACTATGCACTTTGGTCAATAATCGAGTCCCAGCATCCAGTCAGCAGGTGTCACAAATGTGGCATCCTTAAAAGACATGTTAGCAGCAGGGACGCTAGGGGAGAGGGGAGGGGATGAGGGAACTCTACTATTCTGTGACCCTGAAACTGTTCTAAATACAGTCTGTTAACAAAACCAAAAAGAAGGAACCTTCAGTCTTTGCCCTTACAGAGATCACTGTCCAGAAGAAGAGGGGGACAAGAGGATAAGCAATGGGTGTGATACAGGCTGGGAAGGTTAAACCCGGGAAAGGGGCATTCATAGCACACAGGAAAGAGCCTTTGGCTGGTTGGTGGTCCCATGTCCTTTTGCTTTTCTCTCCTTTTCCTTGTTTCAAATACTGAAAAAGATGGAATTGTCACTATTACCTTGGGCACTGGGGTCAGGTTGGGCAGGTGGGGACTGTAGTTCTGACTCCCAGGGAAGTCAGTGTGTCTCAAGGTTAAAGAGCATGGCTTGTGCCTGGACACTGTGGGTTTGAATCCCGGGACTGCCGCTGTATGAAAACTACAGGGTAAATTCAGGCACTGCTGCAACTGACATTCCATTGATCCCCTGACCTCCACAAGGCCAGGTTCCGACTGGTGGGCCGTAGCAATGTTGGAGTCCCTTAGAATTAATGTCAGTTCAGAGCTGGTGTCCAGTGACCTTAGTAAGGTCTGATTGTTCCCTTTTCCCCACTACACAGCCATCTTGGTTGAAGGCCACATGTTGCTTTGGGGTGGACTGGCAGATTAACAGCACACATTTTTGGCAGTGGAGAGTGTTTCTGACCTCCCTTGTTGCTCTAGAGTTCTGGGTCGGTAAGCTAGTTCAAGTTTGGGAATTGAGGAATCAAGCTTGGGAATCAACGATTCAAGTCAGAAGTCTACCTTCTTGGCGTGGAATTCTTCTGCTTCTACAGACCAAGAAAGAACACAAGAGGCTTCTGATCTACTTCATTCTAGAGCTCTGGGATTAACTGTCAAACATCACATGTCTGCATGCAGCAGACCATCCTAACTGCTGCTTTGACGCTGTTACATCCGTGGGGGGAATCGTGTCCACCTGCACTTAACGATAAAATCCAGCTTCCATGAAGCCTGACCACTGTCCTGTGCCTTGGGTGTGTTGCTTGTCCTCCTTATGCCTCAGTTTCTGCCTCTGTATGATGGGGATAACAGCAGTACTCACTCACAGCGTGAGCAAGATTTAGATGAATTAATATATGGAATGTCACAGAAGAGAGTCTCAAAGCCCACAGTGGCTATTAGCTGTATTTGTGAGGGGGAGAAGGAAGACAGAGGGAGAGAGGAAGTGCTGGGCAGATCCATTTACTCAGCCAACAAGTGTTCCTTGAGCACCAACTATGTGCCTGCGTTGTGATAGCTCCTAAGGATGAAAGCGCAAGCACAGGAGGGCAGCGAGTGCTTTCTGGGGTTTAGTGGGAAAACGACGAAACTATCAGTCACACCGTGGTTCAGAGCCCACAGACTCGGGGGATGGACGTGGCCTCCCTTCCTCTCTTGTCCCAAGGTGGGCCTGCGGGTACCCACTCAGTCCCAGGCTCTGGGCACAGCCCTTCCACGCCCAGAGAGCAGCTCTGGGTTCAGCTAATGAGCAGAACGAGTCCCACATCTACGGGTGCACCTGGGCTCACTCAGGGGTGTTCACGCATCTCTCCAAGATGCCCCAGTCTCCTGGCCTGCACTGGAAGGCTCTGTGGCCGGGTCCCCGGTGCCTTCTCTGCCTCCTCCCCCGGTCCGGGGAGCAGGGACTTCTTGCTGCTGGCCTCAGCCCCTGGTGTTTGCATGTGCTGTTCCCTCAGCTCCTCAGGTGCAGCGCAACGTCCCTGTTGCTGCCCAGCCCCTACCCCTGCCAGGCTCCCGCCTTGTTTGTTACCACGCACCCAGCCCTTCTCCTTTTTTTGTATGCTTGTTTTTGAGACAAGAATCTCACTATGTAGCCCGGGCTGGCCTCGAACTCATAGCCATCCTCCTGCCTCAGCCTCCCGCGGGCTGGAATTGCAGTTGTGCGTCACTGCGCTGGGCCCAGATTTCCTCCTTTGCCGCAAAGGCCTGTGAGACCTGTCCCAGTCCTTCCTACTAAGCCTGTACTGCACGGGGCAGAGACAGAGTCAGCGCCTGCAGCCACCACTTCCCTCTCCCGCACCTCCACACCAGGTCCCCATCGATGTCTGCTAAGCAGCTGCTGAGAGGCGCCGCGGGGATGGTGCCTTTGAACCAGGCATGCTCCGGTGCGAGTAAGTCCTCCATGCAGCCTGTTTTCTGGTCACCTCCAAAATCATTCCAAGTGCACAACAGAACCAAAGGCCAGGGTCTTTTCCAGCCTCTCGGGCCGTCCCTTCTCGCCTCTCTTCCGGGGGGTGGGGCGAGGAGACCGCGGGGCGAGACCCGGCTGCGCCGCAAG